TTCTTTTTTCTCTAAGACCAAGCAAATATTCGCAATAAGGTAAATCTGCTATAAAATGAACTTGCTACACATCTAATTTGTTGGACTCAACGTCTGTGGGCACCTACTTGGCCAGAGTAGACTCAAATACGTGTTGGATTACTTCTCCAAATCAAGTGGATGATTTCTATTACTTCCAATAAATCTCCTTGGAACGAATTATTCATTATAGCTTCTTACAGATCTTTATGGGCTGGAGCAATAGCACGGCGAGCAGGGCATTTGTCTTGCAGGCAGCCAACATGGCTGACTGGAGTTAGATTCCTCTGCCCCTCTCGGAGGGCCCGGCAAGCTACCGAGAGTATCTCACCCACACCACAAAGCCTGGCAAGCTACCCGTGACATATTCAATATGCCAAACACAGTAACAAGTCTCATAATGTTACTGGGCCCGCTCAAGCAAATTGATGAACAACAAGAGGACAGTGACAGATCTTTATAAACACAGAAATATATACATGCAATATGAAAATCTTTGTCCTAAATTCAGAGGTCTATTTCAGCAGAACAATGGATTTTGTAGGTGGTAAGTGAGATATCATGGTGGATAGGGACTTTGCCTTGCAGATAGCCGACCTGGGTTCAATCCCTGGCACCAGATATGGTCCTCTGAGCCTGCCAGGAGTGATACCAGAGCACAGAGCCAGGAGTTAAGCTCTGAGCACTGCCAGGTGTGGCCCAAGAGCAAAGAAAAAAAGATAATGCACTGTAACAGAGACAACTAGTGACAACCACTGCCTGGCAGAGGACGAACCTCCTGCCCGATGCAAGAGACAAGAGGATCCTGGAAAGAAGTTCCAAAGGCACTAAATCGCTTCAATATCAAGTGGTCATTGGACTTTTGCTAACAAAAAAAAAAAAAGCACAAATCTTACTATTTCTGAACACCAGTAGACTTATTCTGATAGCAGTAAATCTAGGAGACAGTAAGATGGACAGAAGAGAAAACCAGTAGACTTGGGTGGTGTACAGCTGCTGTTTTGGGGAGGGGCGTCTGAAATCCACATTCTGGTAAAAGTGAGCCGCTTTCCAACAGCTTCCGTTAAAGACAGCATGCGTTCACAATGATCTTTTATACCCATACATGCAATACTTCTTTCTGGTTTTCAATTTTTCCAAACTGGCAAAGCTGGATGTGAGAGCCAATGCTTTAGGCTGACGTTGGAGTTTTAGTCTTTCCAGTCCGTTTCCTGGGGCCAAGTCTTCGGAAACATATGCTACTGTAGCTGCATGTTCAAACACTCATGTGGAAATAGTCTCCTGCATTTATACATTCATTCGCTAAAGCCTGTAGTATGCAAACAAAGATGCGGTGGGCAGAGGGCCAGTTAATAAATCTCGTTTCCTAACGGCATCTGCGTGAAACCGAGCCAGAGGGAGTAGCCTCTCCAGGGAGAGCCAGGCACAACTCATTCACTCTGTGAATTCAACAGCGTCACCTCAGATGGCCCACACCACAGTGATATTTTTTAAGCATATAAAAATATGCTTTAAAAGATAAGGATTTACCTGTAAATATCTGGATTTATGTATTTTATTAAATATATGCATAAAGTATATTTAATAAATATATTTATATCTATACTATATTTATTTAATAAAATGCATGAAATTTATTAAAATACAAAGATATACAGGTTTCCAGGGTTCATAATGGCAATGAGAGAACTAGGACTAAACAAGCGATCACAGAGCTGAGGAAACATAGCCACCGGGCTTCGCTAAACCATTTCTGCTCAGCTCTTTCCCATGGAAATTACTAATGGACGGTAATCTTCAAGAGGAAATGCACGCTTCTAATCAAGACACACTGGTTTCAATAATGATTGACTAGCCATTCTAGTCCAGGCTGTGAAAATGGGCTCTGTTTACACAGAAAGATATCAGGGTTAAGCTATCTGGGTCAGGAACCATATTTGACCCTATTTTTAAATAATCTGGTACAAACGTTACAACAATCATATCTCCTGCTGGAAAGAATGAGCGCTTGCCTAGGGCCAGGGCTCAGAGCCGATCTGTTCTCTAATTGTGCCCTCTCCTCTCACCTGTGTTGCCAGTCTGGTGAGGGGTAATCTAGGGCCAAAGCTCAAGAGAGTCCGCCACTTACTAACAACAGCATCCTTACAAGTCTTTCAAGACATTCCTTGCTTTGAATGTTAGTTGGTAATGTCACAAAAACCTTGTAGGAATGCAATGGAAAACCTTGCAAGAATGTACTTTCAAAATGCATATATATGCAGGAAATAACTGCAGAAAATAAAGCCAAAGAGAAAAGGTGAAAGCCAATCTAGAAGCCAATAAAGGAATCAGGAGAAAAGTTATCTGTCGTCCCAGGTCTCCCAGGGGACCCTAAGAAGGTTCCAGCACATCTCACAGCTGAGAGCTATACTGAATCTACCGCCAAAAGAAAGCTTTTATTTGCTTAAATCTCAATCCTGGCTCTCAAATAGCTTACTAATTTTTCTAAGCAACTAACTGGCAATCTTACTTCAGTCTAGGAATGCCAAAATCATTCTGAATGCTTCAGAGGTTTAAAAAAAAATTGCCATAAGCAAGGAAGATGGAACTTGAGCTTGTGAGCCCCAGAGTCAATCCCTGAAACCACATGGTCCCCCTAGCCCCCTCCCCCAATCTAGCATCATATATAGGGTGTGGTCTGAAAACCAAAAAAAAGAAATGTCATTTTTTCCCCTTACCTATGCCCTTCCAAAATCGATGCTGGAGGGATAATACGGTGGTCATCTACTTTGAAAGAAAAAAGCGGAACAAGAAAAACAAGAGTATATCTCCTTGTATGACTGAAACTCAATCATGAACAACTTTGTAACTGTATATCTCAGAGTGATTCAATTAAAAAAAAAGGTGGGGTAAGAGTATATCTTCAACTAACTCCTTTATATAATTCAAATGCAGTTTCAAAGACGTCATACTTGGTTTACCTAAGGCATGGGTCATTGTAGTGCCCAGTAACCCCGCTACATAAAAATATGAACGCAGTGGTGTTCATGGTAACTTCAGAACTTGCTCTTGGTTTAAAGTACTCTGAAGTCAAGTTGGAAATAACTCAGTAATCAGAAATAACAACTGGATCAATTTTTAAAAAGTAAATGGAGATCAAAAGGCAAAATAACATTTTATTCTCCAGGCATTAATTCGTCACCAAAAAGAAGCATTTAACTTTTCTGCCAAGTGATTTTCTATTGTTATTTCAAGTTATTTCATATAAATAATAAAATCCAATGAGGCAACTTCTTTGGACCCACGTGGTAAAATCTGAACTCAGTTGTTAAAACACTTAGGAAATGACGGTTCTACATTTATTGTCTATTAGTAGGATTTATGAAAGTGAGGTTCAAAAGCAATTTGGGTTTTTGGTTTTTCAAGTCTATGTCAAGCTTTGGAATGTTCACAAAGGTGGAACTTTTCAATCATAAAGATCTACTAAAGGAGAGCTCTTTACACTGTGGGCCAATCTGGATTTATGTGAAAAAAAAAAAAACCAAGCACTTGGACTTTGTAAGGATGTCATATTACTTGGAACCATAAGAAAGACCCGAGATTTTGGTGACCTCATTGGCACGGCCAAAATTAACTCCAAGTACTTATATAACTGCCAGAGATTAAAAAGGGCAAGGCTGCTTGTATATGTGCACAATTCTTTTTCGAGTTGGCAAACAGTGCATTTCTTTGATTAAATAGGAAGGAAGTGGGGGCATGTTTGGACCTATTATACGAAATTTACACACACAGAGAATATCCATCCGTGTCACCACCTAAATGTTTAGATGGGGGATTTAAAAAGTTATTTCCTGCTGCCCAGTTGCTGTGAGAGGATGCGCTGTAGAGGTATGTGTGTTATGCCTTAAAGCAAAAGCATTGTTAGTGGTTATCAAGGTAACATTTAAAAATAACTAGCCTGGTACAAAAGAACTTCAGAGGAAATATGAGCAGAGCTATCAGTCTCCCTTCAAGTCTGGCCTTGGGTTGCATTAGACTCTAGCTGCATTCTCCATTACATTGTTATCCTTATCAAACAATTCAAACAATTTTAATGAGCTTATCTACTAGAACATATTGCCAGATATGCTAATGCAAAAATGATGCCAACCGTGCAGGCCAACTCATTAATCAAAGGCTTACAATACAATGACCAAGATCAGTCCCATCCTCAAATCAAACCTCTGCAAAATACCAGGAATTACCTCCCTACTGTAAATAAGAAGGGCGGGCGCTCCCACCCATGTGGAGGCCATAAACTCCGAAAAAAATGCATAAAGGCACCCAGGTTTTTTCCAGCTCCATTACGGTCCAGTTTCTTTTTAATAAACCGTGGGTTCCATGGAGAAAATTTTGGTGAATGTCTGACACCATGACCTCTGCTGTCAATCCTTGCACCAATCAGGGAGCAGAATTCTTACAAAGCTCCATCAATCTGGCGGTTTAACATCACAGACTGCAGCTTAATCTAGAGGATTCCATCTTCCCTGCACACGTACACGCACACACACACACACACACACGCCAGGGCAGGAGCAAACATTTTTCTCGCCATCCTCCTGTTCTCTGCCTATAGGCACGGCGACCTAAAGGTTCCTTTAAAAATCGAAAAGGGAAGAGAGGAAAGGAAGTGCAATGGCCTGTCTGTCTCCCTGGGGAGAGAGGGCGAAAAAAAAAATTGCATGCATTTCTATCAATGTGGAAGGAAAGCGATGGAGGGAGACCCCTTGCAGGCAGCAAACCTATTCACGAAAACGCTTTTCATCTGCAATCCTGAATTGAAGCCTCCCTCCGTGCAAAGCCAACATGACACACGGAAACCGAGCGCGCAGGACCGCGACCGCCTCCCTCAACGCCCGTCTGCAGCCCGGTCGGGGGCCAAGGGCTGCTCCATTATATAAGGGGCCGGATTTCCGCGCGCCCCCGTGCTCCCCGCCGGCCGCTCCCGGTGCCAGCCCCATTACCTGTAGGAACGCTCTCCGCGCACTGTGTGCTTCCGGAAAGGAATGATGGTCCCGTTATCCTGGATGATATCGTTGTTGTTCTCGCCATTTGGGGACAGGGTTTGGGTCGGGCCAGGCATTTGGCGCTCTCCCGAGGAAGGGATGAAACCCCGCGGTGGGCTGGCTGGGGAGGAAGGTGGCTGCGGCTGCCGTTCCCGCTCGCCCGCTCGGCGCGCACACTGTGCCGGCCGCCCGCTCGCTCGCCCGCCCGCTCCCGGCGCCCAGCCCCGCGCCCGCCCCGCCCTCCCGCCGCTGACGTCAGAGCGCCGGCCCCCGCCCGCGTCACGTGGCCCGGCCCGTCGCCACGGCAACGCGCTAACTCATCACCTCGCCTCCCTGCGCTCGGGGCCGCGCGGCGGCGGCCAGACCCAGCCCGGCGGCCAGGCACCCGGCAGGCCTCCTACATCTGGCGTAGGAACCCCCGCCCCCCCACCCCCACCCCCGGCCGCCCTCCAGCCCCCCTGGCCCACTGGCCGGGGCTGAAACCGGCTCCTCCTCGAACCATTTCCTTTGCCGACCCGAGCTGCAACTGCAGCTGGGCACAAAAGAAAGGTTCCCGGCTTAGGGGTGGGGGAGACCCTTCAACGCCTTCAATTCCAAGTTCTTAGGCCATTGAACATTGAGGCTCGGGTTTGCTGGGGTCCAAAACATGCAAAAAAGGCCTGGCGGCTGAAGCCGCAGCAGACTTAAGAGGTTAATCCTTTCTCCAAACAGCATCAATCTCCTCCCTCAAAGAAGGGAAAAACCTGAAGAGAGGAAGTTATATTTCCTTTCCATCAATGTAACCTTTACTTTAATACTCTGAGGATAAAAGATTATCAATTTAGAGATTTTTTTCCTGCACAAAGGAATTCCCTAAGAGAGGTTTTTTCTTTCTTTCTTTCTTTCTTTCTTTCTTTCTTTCTTTCTTTCTTTCTTTCTTAAAAAAGAAATCCACCATTTTACAACATTATGATTACTCCAAACATGCCCCAGCTCCCAGTTCAAGTTCTTACTTTGCCTCCTGGTGAAGGTATTTGTCTCTTTGTCACTTATTTTATCTTTATTTGAATCGATCAAGTGAATACCCCAGTTAGTATTTGGATGCTCTCAGCATTGAAGCTTCTCCACAGTTCATAGACACTAAGGGACAGGTGCTATTATTATCCCTGTCTTAAAGATGAGAAAACTAATGAGATAAGTAACTTGCTCAAGGTCACACAGCTTAAACTGGAATCTTAATATACTTTTATCAATGTGACTGGACAGCATTGACCAATATGTAATGTCCATGAATGTTATAAATCAAGTCCATGAAGGTAAAAATCAAGTACTTTATGAACATTTCCAACAAGCCCATGTGAAAGAGAGCTGTGCTTTGAATTGCTGGTACTGCACGAAGTCTATGGATTAAATTATGAAGTCTGAACAGACCCCAGCTGTGTCCAATACTTTCCTCCAGAGAGGAAGGAATTTGAAGGATTCTCTGCTTATCAAAAGCGGTCCCTGACCTTTCACAGAACAGGAAGAGAAGGAGCACTGGGATGTAAAAGATGCAAGACAACATAAATAAATGTAGCAGAAGGACCAGGGTAAGGCTCAGCCCTTCCCATCATCGTATAGTTTATTAGCCTTTATAAGTTTGTGAAAACAGATATTAAAAACCACCAAAAACTCTGTCATTCCTGCCAATTCTCCAGCATATATTCCTGGTAATAAGTTATTTCTGGCATTAAGCTTCTGGAATTAGAATAAGAAAATTACAACCCAGATGGTAATGTTAATCTCAAAACAAAAAGATGCCTCCTCTCCCCATTTTTACTCTTTTTTTGGCTTTATTTTAATACTTTTATTCTCTCCAGTAAATTTGTAGAGCAAAGTTGATTTCTTCATTTATATCTCAGCTTACATGACAATTGCTTTCTCATCTAATAAGAATCTGATGCTGACTTAAGACTAAGGCGCACAGATAAATATATCTAAGTACAAGCAATAGACAGTAAGATTCCCATGAGCTAAAGAAAATGAATGTCTAGTCATCACTATTAAGATCCACATTTTCTCTTACTATTCCTGTTATTTGACCCACAGTCAATAGACAACTTCTTTACTAAATTTGTTCCCTTTTACAAAAACTTCCCTTTTATTTGTGTCCTGTCTGAAGTTGAAAGGCACCCTCTACAGATCAAATAGGCAATGCTTCCAGGGCATACCTTTTTGTTTTGGGTTCTTATTTAGTACCGCTTTACTTTTCTTTGATCCCATATTTAAGTAATATGTTAGACATAATTGGTGTTATCATGGAGAGTACATTAGTCGGAATTTGAGTGCACAGTTCACTGATTATACCCACTAATTTTGTGAAGCAAATACTCCCACTGTTTTGTAGGCTTTTCAGGGAGAGTGGATTGTGGCCAAGGGTTGAGGTTGATGGGCTCAGAGGGAAGGGAGATAGTTAAGTCAGGTGGAGGAGGTAGCCAGAGCCCTTGTAAATCTTCCTCGAAGACTGCCCTGAGCCACAGAACTATAAAGGGACCCACAGAGCTCCAGAGACCCAAAATTACCCTCTGAGATGCAAGGGTAGCGGGGGTAATAATTTGAAAATATTAAACAGATGTGTTTTCATTCCTTGCCCCATAAATCAGGTTACCTGGCAGCCATTCTTTAGGTCAGCCCTAGAAAAGGGAGGGTACATTCCCCACTGGGAAGGAGAATGATAGGAGATAAAGTACAGAAAAGGCAGGAAGAGGGAGGGAAAAGTCCACCTCTTCCAACTGAGTGTTGGGAGGAGGAGATGAAAGTAGAAAAAAGAGAGACTGGAGAGAATACAGGAGTTATGTTGTTTTCCATGCATGTGGGCCGACACTGGTTCATGGTCCCCAAAGCGTGTATGGGTATAGCCCTAATGCCCTATCCTCCCTCGAGCAAGTACTATTGGAATGACCCAGCTATTTCCCCATACCATAAGGCCCAGCTAGCACCATATCCTTGGGCCCACATATTCCACTAACTCAGTTGGTTTAGAACTGCTGGAAGGGGCTCCTAAATACCACTTGATTATACCAACTAATTCTGTGGTATTAGTTGATATAATGTCAACTTCCAATATAGCATCTCTATTTCCTAGTTTAATTCATGTTTTCATTAGCACTAAAACTGTAGAAGCAAACATAGCTTTGAGTATCCAGAGCGTATAGGCGTTAATATTTGTTAAGTCATGAAACGTGGGCACTATTATTGACAGGAGTTAAGGGTGGATAGTGAAGAAGAAGGACACATTTTCAAATGAATCCCAAGTTTATGGCTTAGGTGATCAAGTGCCAATGGTATCATGAATCAAGCTATGAAGAACAGATTAAGTTTTCTTTTTGGAAGAAAGATTTTTACAGTGTTCTAGACACATAGAAGTTCCTATAGAACACCCTCATAGTAATAATGAGCGATCATGGGCTTTGATCATTAAGGTTGATACATATTTTTAAAGAGTAGAATATATGGGTTCTTGAACTTATGAGATAAGTTTTGGGATAAACGATTTCATGAGTGATATTTGACGCTGTGTGTTGTTACCCTCACATAAGAGAATGAGAATATCTGGCATGAAACTCCTTAAAAGATGAATGATTAAAAAATAAAATCCTGCAAAGAAAAGACTAAAAGGGATTTTTCCCAGTGGAGAAAATCAGAAGCAGCATAAACTGGCTCAGGGGAGAGGCAGTTTTCACTGAAGACAACAGGGCCAAATGTCACAGAATCAGAAGGTCAGACAATTGCTTACTAGATTTGAGACTGTGCTTTATGATTCCTAAGGAAAAATAAAATCTTCAACAAGCAGGAAAACTACAATTCTTTGCAAAACCAGTATATTCTGAGCAAACCAAGGTATTAAAGGATGGAGAAGTCATTAGAGAGCGTGACTGGAAGTGGTTCTTGTTTTTTTTATTTTAAATCAAGGTTCATTATATACAATCAACAACTAACTACAATCAGTTAGTCTCTGCTACAAAGCTCCCAGCAATATTGGCGAAAACAGGGCACATTCAGGGCATTATATCAATATTCATCAATATTGAAGGGGCAAAATGGTCATTGACGAGTCCTACTTAGGCACCAGAATAAGTGTTTTTTTCCCTCTGAGCCCTGACTGTCATGATCTCTACCCAGCAAAAAGAAAAAGAAAAAGAAAAGAAAAGAAAAAGAAAAGTAAAATATTTTGTTGTTTGGAGAGGAGGATTACTAAAGTAGACCCAGGGGACAGAGTCATGAGAACAAGCTAAAAAAAGGGAAGCAGCAGCAGTCCCAGCACACAGGTGCAATCAAGGCAGATGGAACTGGGCACCAACCCAGATTTTAATTTTTTAGCGTTCCTAGCTTATAGCACAATGACATTTCTCCCGAGACTTGAGCCAAGCAAGCTCTGCGCTGATAATTGGGTATTGGCAGAAATCATTGCCTCTCTCTAGTTTCAACTCACGAGACTCATCTCTGAACGGCGGTCTTGCATTGCTTTGGAATTGAGAAACCCTAAATGCAACAACAGAGAAGATATGAAATCATTAGCCAGGGATGGATGTTAATCTTCATTCTGTCCCAGAAGCACCTACACATCACAAATGCTGTTTTCTAGGTTAAAATGTGTTCACTGAAGCTGATAATCACTGCTGTCAAAGGCATTCACAGCTGTCACACCACCTTAGATGGGGGCGTCCTTAGATTGTTATCACCTCTGAATACAGATTCCACTTAGCAGTCACCATTGCTACCTTAGGACAAGTAATTTCTCACATGTACATGTCTATGGTATCTTTCCAGCATGGAATATTTTCCAGTAGGCAAAGAATAGGTTATCAGAGGTTTAAAATACACTCCATATCCAGAATAACAGCAGCGAATAAATACATGGCCAGTAGGTCAATGGTGATAGTCTTGATATCACATTGTAACATATAAATGCACTTGCAATTGGTCCTTGCTTACCATTTTTAACTTATAGGCAGAGAACGTCTTATTTCTTTAGATTCTTCAGATTTCTTTGATGACATGTATATGTCTGTTGGCTTTAGTAGTAGCATTTTATTTAGAAAAATTATGAACAATTTTCCCCCATATTACGAAGGTCCTCCTCAAAGCCAACCTAACAAGGCGTGTTCCTCCATGAGTAGCTTATGAGACTATCTCTGAAGAGTATTTATCAGTCACATTTATAACCATGCTGATATGTACACAAGACAGGACTGCACCCTCT